GTCCGACGTACGACGTCCGATATCCAATAGGAGAAGAGCTTTCTAATAGAAAATTCAATTCTCCATTGGAAAGCTGTTCTCTTATTGGGTATCGGACGTCGTACGTCGGACATCGGACGCAGTGTGAATCCTGCATAACCGTACAACGGATGTCGAATATGAATCCTGCATAATTTGAACATCGGATATTGCTATGTGAATTTGTCTTTACCTATTAATGGCCCCTGTACATCTTCCTGTTGGCGCTACTACACGTTTTGTACCGGTGAACGTAGTGTTATTCTAAACATATTCTTCAACAGGTAATTCATAACTATTTCATTAAAATTTATTGTTAGTTTTATAACAAAATATTTTATATATTTAAACTAAATAATTAAATTTTAATTTTGGTGAACTTTTCAACTTTTGTCGTTACACGTGGGTGTTTAACCTTACGACTTTCAAGATTTTTAATCAATTTATTCCAAGACTTTTACTTAATTTAATTTTTTTTTTTTGTAAGGAGAGACTAAAAGAGTGATTTTACGTACAATCTTATCTCATATTTTTAAGTTTTATAAATTTGATATTGAGTCTGTTGTAAAGGATAATTAGTACTACTAACACGTTTTTCTAAATTTTGTTGCTTGAAAATTTCTCACATTCTGTTTTTTCTTATATATTGAAAAGTTTCTGCAATTACAATTTCTTAATCTACTTTAGGCCTTTGAAAGCAATGGCTAAAACATCTTCAGGACAGAATATAGCAGGCCAAGTTACAAAGCAGACGTTACGTGGAATAAAAAATGGTTCTATAAAAAAAGATAAGAAATCTAAATTTAAAAATACTCCTGCTGGCAAAGTAGCTTTGGTAGATAATGTAAAAGCAAAGAATAAAAATATTACTTCTCAGAAAATTTTCCAGAAAAATACAAATGTAAAGAATAACCAGAATTTACCTAAAGAAAAGTTAAAACAATTAGAGGGAAAAGAAAACTCTTTAAAAAGAAAACAAAATTCACCCAAGGGAAAGCAAAATATTCCAAAGGGAAAACATACTCCAAATGAACTACAAAATAAAAAAAACAGTAAAAAAAATAATTTAATACCAAAAAAAGTATTAGAAGAATTTGATGATTCTGACTCTGATGACGATTCATTTAATGAAGAAGAAATTAGTTTTGGTGATGAAACATTTGAAGATGAAGAAGAAAATGATACTGATGTCCCAGATATCTTTGGAGCAAGTTTAGCAGAAAATTCAGATTTAGATGATGAGGACTTTGAAGAGGAAGAAGAAGGTGAGGAGAGTGAAGATGAAGAAAGTGAAGATGAAGAGGATGAAGATGTCAATATAACCGGTGAACAGGAAATGGTCAGATCCAAAGATATACAATCAAGTTCCAATTCTGAGTTTTGCGAATTATCTAAGGATGATATTTATGATGATGACGAAGAAGATGATGAAGATGATGATGATGACAACGATGATGATAATGAAAGTTATGAAGATATGGATATGAACGAAGTAGATACTTCTGTATCTCAATCTGATGATGAAGAGGATGAGGATGAAGATGAGAATGAGGATGAAGATGAGGATGAGAGTGAAGCATCTGGCTTAAAAGCACTTTTGGGAAAAAGTATGACAGATGATGATGATGATGAAGATTTTAATGAAGAAGATGAAGATGATGAAGATGATGATATTAGCGATGAAGAAGAAGAAGAAGATGATGATGATGATGATGATGATGATGATGATGATGATGAAGACGACAGTACAGTAAAAGTTGTACAAGAAAAAGCTATAAAAAACAAAGTAACTAAGACTTCCAATAGCAAAGATGCATCTGAAAAGAATGATCAGGCACAGGAAAAAGCATTATCTCCTGAAGAACAGCAAGAGATTAACAAAAGAACTATTTTCATCACCAATGTTCCAAAAGAAACAAAAGAAGCAATTTTGAAGAAAGTATTTGGTCAATATGGGCTTATTAATAATATACGTTTTAGAGGTATTATTCCAAGCAATTTAAAAACATCCAAGAAAGTTGCTGCTATTAAGAAAGATATTCATCCAGAAGTACATACTCTTATAGTGTACATTAATTATAAATCTGAAGAATCTGCAAAGAAAGCACTATGTATGAATGGAAAGAAATTCGAAGGAAATTATTTAAACGTAACAATTGTTGCTAATTCGAAAGGAAAGGAATATGATAATAAAAAGGCCGTATTTATAGGAAACTTGAAATTCGGTACGTTTAATAAAGTATTTAATTGAAATAAAAATATTATTAATTCATATGGAAATCGTCTATCACACAAACTAAATTATTTTATATCTTGGAAACTTTAGGTATGGATACCAATCCTATCTGGGAACTATTTAATAAATGTGGAGAAGTAGATTCTATACATTTAATGCGCGATAAAAAAACTGGGCAGACTAGAGGATTTGGCTATGTTAACTTTAAGTCTGAGGATGCTGTGGCTTTGGCTTTAAAATTAGATGGTACTGAAGTTAATAATCGACCAATAAGAGTACACCCAATAAAAGTTCATGATAAAGAGAAACATCAGAAAAGAAACAGGGGAGGGTGGAAAAATAAAAGCAGCCCTTTAAATAAAAGCGACGATAATAGACCGTCAAAGAAATTTAAGAACGACTCACAACAAGCTGTAGCACGTTCAGTAAGTATATTTCCATTTCTTTTATATTATTTGTATTAAAATAAGAATCAACATTGTCGCGTATAACCTAATATCGTATTATCTCTTATAGATTGGAGATGAAGCGAAAGTTAAGCAAAAGATGCCACAGAGAGATAATATGAGTCCCGAAGGGAAAATAGCAAAGTCTTTTCAAGGTCAGAAGAGCGATATGAAAAACAAGAAGAAAGGAAATAAATTTAACAAAAAGAAGAAAGAATTGGCAGGCAAACTCATGGCTAAACCGAAAAAACAAAGATCTTAAATCAAGACGTATTATAATTAATGTATAACTCTAATATTATTACATATTTTATTCTACAATTTTTTATTGGACACTATATTATATGAAATATCACTTAAAAACATGATTTATCTCGTGTATGTTTATTTAATAAGATAATCAAAAATACATTATTACACTTCCATGTAAAATATTGTGTTCAAATTCTGATAGAAAATAGTTTATTTTAATTGTGAATTGTTGCACTTCTATAAATGGATTTCATCAAGGTCTTCTTTTTTAATATTAATATAATTTAACATATACTTATGCGCGATGTTCAATGATAAATCGCATAATCCCTAAGAATCCGCTTGTTTCGTTAAGTTGCTGATTTTACCATGTAGTTGGATCGGTAAATTTTGCGTGTTGCTGGATGCACAGTTCGGGCAAAATCGTTTCACGTAATATATGCTGCAGCCCAAGCACACCGCGTGTTTGCACATACTGCAATCGCCGCCGAGGACCAGGACTTCACCTCTGTTGGGCAAACTGAACGGATCTTTCATGATGTAACATTCTTCCGAGTAAACCAGCTGCCGTGCAAACGGTGGCCTCGAGCCCTTGTAATCGTAGTGTTCCTTCAAAGAACAGAAAGAGCACGCAAAAGTCCCGCCCGTCTTCGGCGCCGTATGCTGATTTGCTGCGCTATCCTGCTCGCTTCGCTTGCTGATCTCGAGTTCGTTCGTCGTGTCAGCAGAATCTTCTGTCCTACAAATTAATAAACAAAATTCACTGTATTATCGGCGTACTCTGTTGGTACTCTCTATCGCAACATATTAGCTTTTAACTTTATTTTATATGCGTAGGGGAGAAGATGGTAAAGTAAAATAAGGATTTCTTAAACAATTGCTATACAATCGGTCAGTAATTAAAATAAATATAACCGTTAGTGTCCTTATCGGCTACTAAAGAGGTTTGACAGTGCCACATTGTAGTGTTAAGAGAATAGAGTTTGTTTGGAAAACAATAATGGAATAGTAATATGGAATAAGAGATAGATAATATAGAATAAGAGTTCCGTGTTATATATACCACGTCTTTTTTAATTTCCACAGAAAATTTTATTTTTATTCTTTACGATTTTTACATTCAAAGGATTTCAATAAAAGAATTAATTTGATATTAATAAAAAATAAGCTTTTTTATTTTCACGTCTGTTTTACATTCTACCACCCCATTTTCGAAGACTCTCCACTTCTTGTCCCCCCTATATAAAAAGAAAATTTTGTGCTCTTTGAACAGTTTATTTCTTTCTCTAACAATTATGAATACATTGCAAGAGATATATTTCGCTAACACTTCTGATAGTTATTAATGCAATTATTGCATTTAATATTGGTCTTTCTCAAAAGCACATTCCCACCTTCTCCCCTACATTACATCATTTCACATACGTGAATATTACGATTCTCTGTGCTTTTGCAACCACAACCCGTCGACATATTACACGATTTTCGCAAAGGCTCTCCGCGTTACTACGTGTCTTTGACAGAGACCATCTCCTTCTGAGACTCCTGAGGCCACCAAGCAGGTTTCACCACCTTCACGTTCATACCCGCCACATTCAGCTGCTGAGCGCTAAGAGATTCGTTAATACGCATCAAGCCTAATCCGTACTTTTCGGTGCAGCCCCGGAACTTGCCCACTACGTTGCCGGACTGGTCGAGGATCTTCTCGTCGTACGCGAGCGGCTTAACCGCGACGTTCTCGAACGCCAAGGGCATCAACCGTTTTCTCACCACTCCGGTATGATACGTGCGCGCCGTCAATTCTTGACCGATGTAGCAGCCCTTGTGGAAGCTGACACCGTGCAGATAATCACAATTGATCTCCAGGGGCAACGCTTTCCCGGGTGGTAGATCGTGCACACCTTCGCCCACTCCTAGTTTATATCGAAACGCTTTGTAATCGCCGACGCTCTCCGACGGGATTACGTCGTTGTTCAAGTTCTTTATTATTTCATGCATTCCGATCTGCGACTCGGCCAGGATCCTGAGACCCAGGTCGGGTAACCTGGGATCCTCATAGATCATGATGTTGCCGATGAATTTGCTGGCTTTGTTGTTCAGCGTGCCGCACGGAAAGATCATGCCTTCCAATTTGCGTTTGCCGTTCTCGTCCGGCGTGTTTTTGTAGTCGAAACAGCTGTTTGAATCGAACATCGTCCAGACATTGAGTCTGTCGCCTACGTGCTCCACGTCTATCTTGCGCTTCACGCGATATAGTCTCAGGTGCCGCTGTAGGGATTCAGCGATCTGCGAATCGCATTCTATGTAGTACGAATTGCTCTCCTCGCTCTTGTACACGATAGCATCGTACATCACCCTGCCTCTAATATTCAAGAACAGAGTATAGATGTTAGAGGCACCTTCCTCCAGGTGCTTCATATCGTTCGTGATTAATCCTTGCAAGAAATCGGACGTCTCGTTGCCGCTCACGTACAGCACGCTCCGATCATGCAAGCGTTCTAATACCTTGCGACTGACTTGAGTGCAACTGTGTCTGATCGCGTATCTCAAATAGTCGTCAAGCCGTTTGTTTCGCTTGCACATTTGGGAAGCGAACCGGCTAACACGCATAACCATTGTGACGGACGCCATCGATTCGAATAAAGCTTTTTACTCCTCTACGAATAAAATATACGCGACTAATAGAACCTATACAGCACGAAACGAACTTAACCTCTAAGTACTCCACGTCTGCTTCTTATCACGTTATATAACATTTAATATATAATACATGTTTGATCTTACATTTTTTGTGTTTTTATGAACAGCACGTCGCGATTTGTCCCGTGTATATAACTTGACAACTCATCAAATCCATTTATTCGGAGTTTTTAAATTGCATGAGCCACCTAACCTGTAATCTCATTGGAACGAATGGCCTCTGACAGGTTGTATTTTTTACATATATATATGACGTTTCACACAATGCTTGCTTTACAAAGAGAAGTCTGAAAAAGCGAATTTATAAATGTTCATAAATGTATATATAAACAGGTGTTTTATCTGATATTGAATAGTAATAATAATACCTGATATTGAATGGTAGAAAACAAGAAGCCTGATACTGTGACAAAAGTCTATGCAATCTTATGAGTTCGGTCGTGCTATTGAAAGCTAAAAATGGATAAAACTTAGAGGAACATCTTTAGCAATTATGAAAAATTGATCAAATTCAACAGGTTGTAACTTTGGAAAGAATTTTTAAGCATCTAGTTTTCACACAGATACGTATTGTCAAATATAATATTTACTTATATTTTATAATGTTACATGAATATAGAACGAGACCCGTCAAATGCTAAAATATTTAATGAAATTTATTGCATTACACCATATAAACAAAAAATTACAGACAAATGTCATTTATATCATTTAAAAGTGCGGACTTTCTTCTTTAATATACGCATTCGCAGGTTGCGCTGCGATTTTCTTTCACAAAGTTAGGGTCGATTATTCCATTATAAATTAATTAATTATCTTATTAATCTCTTGATAAGCTATCTGATAGTTAAATCATATATCTGTCTTCGTTTTTTCTTTAAATTGGATAAAGATAGGCACATAATTTAACTGTTAGGCAGCGTACCAAGAAGTTGGAACAATCATACCTTATTTAATTTTAAAAAAAGAAAACGTTCTTTTCAAAGTTGCAGAAAATAAAAAATGAAATAAAGCTGAACTGTTGTTAAGCTGGCCACACACACTTTTCGTAACAGTAACCGTAAGACATAATAGGTTTGTTCTTTCGACCAGAACTGGCTGCACTAGTTCACGAAGTTTGCACTAATGCGTTCTTTCGATCAGAACAGTGCAAGAAAATGTGTTCTTTCGAACAGTGCAGCGAGTTCAGTGAACTGACTGCCCTAGGTCTGGAGCAAGCAGTGCAGGGCAGCTAACCGAAAAAATTTAAATTTGTATCTATAACCTGTAAAATCGGTATACCTAGTTGACATTACGTAGAAGAAATAATCCGACGACGGAATCTATAAACAGTAAGTAAATACTTAAATATATAATAAATATATAATGTAGATAAATATATAATAAATATATAATGTAGAATGACATAAAAGAAGTATTTAGAATGTTATCCAAACAGCACAAAATATCCGAAAGACATCCTGGGAAGGCTCTTGGACGTTTTTTCGGAGGGATTTGTTGTATGGGTATCCAACACAAAACAGTTTTTAAAAGAAATAGGATTGTTCAACAAAACATAAAATGCTATAAGTGCGAAAA